CGGAGTGGGTGACTCAAGATTATTAGTTCCCTTAAGGCTGTTGACGGAGTGAGGCGAGGCGAGTGTCCCAGACCCTCTCCCCTCACTGCAAGTCTACGTCGTGCTTTATCCAGGTAATTCATAGCTTGGGTAATATCTCTCCTGCATCGTATACCGTTTCTACTTGAGCGCTTTTTCGCTATTCCGTCAAGTAGCTCTTTTCCGCTAGGCCGAGCTGGCTTCGAGTGGCACGGGGATCTCCAAAAGGCAATGATTACTAGATAATCCGCCTAATGGGGCTTCTAAATCTACAACTGACCTTGATGGAGAAGGAATTTGCGAACGTGCATTAATGTTTATGAACGCAGTCACGCGTAAGCTGCCTTTGCAAGCACATGCCTGGTCATCTCTGCTCGTTCGGGTTTTTTAAAAAGGAATTCGGTGCATGTGTCTGCACATCTGGGTTCTGATTTATGCCCTAATATGACTTTGCGTTTGCGGTCACTAATAGCTCTATGCCAATGTAGATTTTGAGGACTTGTAGACCGTTTTAAGCAATATATACAACCAAGCAAACATACCAACATAAAAATACCCACCCACACGAAAAAAAAACATAAAAAAACAGATATACACATCCAAACATATCGCCAAACACACCCATTCCCAAATACCGATACATTCTACACCCCCCCCCCCACAAAAACAACAAAACAAACACACAAACGCGCGCACATACAAACGGGCTTCATCGGCAGCCAATAGCCCAACATGAAAAGAAAAACATCAAAAAACAACATATACACATCCAAACATATCGCCAACACACACCCATTCCCAAATACCGATACATTCTACACCCCCCCACACCACAAACAACAACAAAACAAACACACAAACAAGCGCACATACAACGGGTTCATCGGCAGCCAATAGCCCAATCGACCAACGGCACAAGGCACATACTCGCATACCTGTCGAGTGATACAAAACACGACATCAATCCCGTGCCTTAATCGATGGTTCCTTGGACGACACGCTAACGAAGTCGACTGTGCTAACACTCATTTTCCTTTTTTTTTTCTCTCTTGGCTTATCGTGGTTTTAGATCTTTCTGTTCTTTGTTATCTTTTTTTTCGCGTTTTTGGGGTGTTATTCTTGCTGTTTCGATGTTGTTTTCTCTTTCTCTTTTTTTCTCTTTTTCTCTTTATTCCTCTTTTTCATCTTTTCTTCTTTCTCTTTCCTCTTTCTTTTCTCTTCTTCTTACTCTTCCTCTTTTCTCTTCTTTCTCTCCTCTTCTTCTTTCTCTCCTTCTTCATCTACCCCACACTTCTCTTCTTCCTTTTCTCTCCCTCCTCCTAACATCCTCCTATCTCCCCATCTCCACCTTCGCAAAGAGAGGGGCGTGAGGAGTGGCTAATTACAGGCAGTAATCACCCACGTGTGAATGGGAGGAAGTGTGTGGTGATGTGTGTGTGGTGTGTGTGTGTGTGTGTGTGTGTGTGTGTGTGTGTGTGTGTGTGTGTGGTGTGTGTGTGTGTGTGTGTGTGGTGTGTGGTGTGTGTGTGGTGTGTGTGTGCGTTGTTTGTGTGTTTGTGTGTGTGCGTGTGTGTGGTGTGGGCGTATGTGTGTGGTTGCGGACGTGTGTGTGGGCGTATGTGCGTGGTGCTGTGGGCGTAATGTGTGGGCGTATGTGCGTGCTTGTGGGCGTAGTGCGTGGCGGACGTGTGTGTGGGCGTATGTGCGTGCTTGTGGGCGTTTTGTGTGGGCGTATGTGCGTCGGGAGTGTGTGGTGTTGTGTGTGTGTGTGTGTGTGTGTGTGTGTGTGTGTGTGTGTGGCGTTTGTTCGTGCTGCGGACGTGTGTGTGTGTGTGTGTGTGTGGTGTATGTGTATATATATATGCTGCGGATGTGGGCGTATGTGCGTGGCGGGCGTGCTTGCGGACGTGGGCGTATGTGCGTGCTTGTGGGCGTATGTGCGTGCTTGCGGACGTGTGTGTGGGCGTACGTGCGGGCGGGCGTGTGTGTGTGTATGTGTGTGTATATATGTATGTGCATGCTGGCGGGTGTGTGTGGGCGCGAATCGGGGCTAAATAGTTCACAATCGGCTTCGTTTAAGAGGCGGCCAGGTAACCCCCTCTCGGAGTCGTGTTCATCAACCTGTTCTCCTGCATTTTGTTCCTTTCTTGGTGTTTGAAGTCAAGTAATTTTTTTTTTCGTTTTTTTTTTTTTTTTATTTTGTTCCTTTCTTGATTGAAAAGTTTTTTTTTTTTTTTTTTTTTTTTTTTTTTTTTTTTTTTTTTGCCATTTCTAAAAATACTTTCATCATCATTGGTGTGGATGTTTTGATCGTAATTCCTATTATTATTAGTTGTAATTGCATTTGTTTTCGTAATGATCGTGAAGGCATCAGGAGCAACGCCGAAGCATCATCATAATCATTGTCATCAGAAACTATGATCACCATCAGTGTAATTATCATCACAGGGCACCATCCTCACACATTACCACCATCACCATCATCATCATCATCATCATCATCATCATCATCATCATCATCATTATCAATCATCATCATTCATCACATCATCATCATCATCACCACTCCCATAACCACCATCATCATCACCACCACCACCACCACCATCATCATCATCATCATCATCACACTCCCCATACCCACCATCATCATCATCATCACCACCACCATCATTATCATCATCATCACCACTCCATAACCACCATCATCATCATCATTATTACACCATCATCATCATCACCACTCCCATAACCACCATCACCATCGTCATCATCACCATCATCATTATCACCACCATCATCACTGTATAACAGACCAACAAAATTCACCACGCTGTCATTTCTCTAATACCACGCATAACACATTCCAATGATAACAGTGAATATAATAATAATAACAAATTAATTAATGTAATAATCAAATTAAGAAATGACAAAATAAGATAAAAAGAAACGGGATTCATACACGATTTTCAAGTCATGTATAGTTCATAATAAAATACTACTACTAATATTATATATATATATATATATTATATATATATATATATATATATATATTATATATATATATATATATATTATGGAAATGCAACGTAAATGAATAATTGAATGAATGGAAAAAAAGTAGAAGACAAGGATATTTTCCCCAACCTAAACCCTTTTCAGGTCGTGTAAAAAATATATCATATATCATATATTACTATTATATAGAAAAAAAATATATGATATAAACAAATGAATGAATAAAAAAAAAAAATAAATAAGAAAACAAGCAAAAAATATCAGATCGCGTAAAATGATGCCATATAGTGAATAATACATTAATATAAGAAATCCTATATAAATAAATGAATATACATACATAAATAAGTAAATAAACAAATAAATGAATAAATAAGAAAAAAACAAATAACGAGAAAACGTTTCAACATAAACAATTTTCAGATCGCTTAAAAAAAATATTTAGTGAATAATAATAACAAAAAAACAAAACATAACATAAACAAATACATGACTAAATAATAAATAAATAAATAAATAAATAAAAATAAATAACGAGTAAACAGGTCTTCAACATAAACAAAACAAAAATAAATGAAAAAAATAAAAAATAAAAATAAATAACGAGTAAACAGGTCTTCAACATAAACAATTTTCTGGCCCCGTTCAGGAGCCATTAATGAGGGTCTGCCGTTTCTGCCTCGTTGGGCGTCGCTCGGCGCCGCTCGCTGAGGGGAGGGGGGGGGGGTGAGGGGAGAAGGAAGAGGGGTTGGGGAGGGGAAGGAGGTTAGAAGGGGGTTAGGGACGGGAGGGGAGAGGGGTTTATAGGAAGGGGAGGGGTAAGGGGAAGGAGAGATGAGGAGGGGGTTGAAGGGAGGGGAGAGGGGAGGGAGGAGGAGGGGGTTGAGAGGGGAAGGGAGAGAGGAGGAGGGGTAAGGGGAAGGGAGAGAGGAGGTGAGGGGGTTGAGGGAAGGGAGAGGAGAGGAGGGGGAAGGAGAGGGAATGAAGGGGTTGAGGGAGAAGAGGAGAGGGGTAAGGGGAAGGAGAGAGGAGGAGGGGGATGAGGGGAAGAGGGGGTTGAGGGGAGGGGAGGAGGATAAGGGGAGGGAAAGGAGGAGGGGGTTGAGGGGAGGGGAGGAGGGGTAATGGGAAGGAGAGGGAAGAGGAGAGGGAGGGGTAAGGGAGAAGGGGGGAGGCGGGTAAGGGAGGGAGGTTAAGATAAAAGGAGGGGGAGGGGGGTTGAATTTGAGAGGAGGGAAGAGGAGGAGGGGGGGTTTAGGGGTTTAGGGAGGGGAGGGGAGGAGGGGTTAAGGAAGGGAGAGAAGATTAAGATAAAGGGAGAGGGGAAGAGGAGAGGAGGGGATAAGGGGAATGGAGAGAAGTTAAATAAAGGGAGGGAGTTGAGGGAGGATGAGGGTTACTGAGGGGGGGGAATGAGGTGAGTATGAGGGGGTATAGGTGAGGGGAGGAAAAGGGAGGATGAGATAAGGGGGTGAGTGAGGGGAGAAGAGAAAAGAGATTAAGGAGGAGGAGATGGAAGCGAGGTAAAGAGAGGGAAAGGAGAAGAGAAAGAAGAGATAGTAAGATGAGGGGAAACGAGGTCGGAATAGAAGAGAAAGTGGTTTTAAGACGAAGGGGAATGCTGAGGGAGTAGCGAAGAAACGAAGAGGAGAGTAACGAAAGAGACGTTGATAACGAAGGAAAGAAGGAGAAGAGAGTAGACGAGGAAAAAAATGAAGAGAGAGACGAAGAAAAGACAAAGATTAAAGAAAGCGACAGAAAACAAAACAACAAAAAAAGAAAAAAAAAGAACGAAAAAAGAACAATATTAATTAAGCCATCCCCATCTCTCCCCCCCCCCTCCAAGGAATAAAGTCAAGTAACCCCCCACCCCACCCCCACCCCCACCCCCCTCCCCACCTCATCATCTTCACTCAACTCTAGTTCAATAACAACTGAGTGTAATTAAGCCAATACCAGCCAATTATCCTCCATGGAGATCAACCCAGACAACTAATTGATTAATTTTTTTTCGCCGTTATTGCGATGCGAAAGAAACGAAGGTTGATGATGATAAGAAGCTGATAAGGATCTTGGCCTTATCAGCGTCCTTGGAGGAAGGCCCAGGGTGGGGTGGGGGGTGGGGGGGTGAGGCTGTGGTTGTTTATATCACGGGGTTATGTAAGGTTCTTGTTCAGTGAAGGAGGTCGAATAGGGGTGTTTTTTCCCTGTGTGTGTGCTGTATGTGTGTGTGTTTGTGTGTGTGCGTGTTGCGTGTGTGTGTGTGTGTGTGTGTGTGTGTGTGTGTGTGTGTGTGTGTGTGTGTGTGTGTGTGTGTGTGTGTGTGTGTGTGTGTGTGTGTTGTGTGTGTGTGTGTGTGTGTGCTGTGTGTGTGTTGTGTGTGTTCATTAAATTATCTATTTACTCCAATAACATACCGGGGGATTAAAATGAATGTTCTTTTTTTCATG